GAGAGAGCTACAGACAGACAGACATTTTCTTATGAAATAGGAAGTGAAGCAACGGGACTTAAAAATAAATAAGTAATCTCCCTTTTCTTTCTTTCTTTTTTTCCTTTCTTTTCAAAATTCAAAAGAAGACACACGTGCTTGCAAAATCTGCTTAACAGGGATATTATGGGGCAACCACGCGCATTTTCTCTCTTTCAATTATTTTTTTGATGCACAAACTCTAAAGGTGCTGTCACACTAGCACTTTTTCCGTCAATTTTTTTTTTGACAATTTTCTGAAATTTTGTCCATTTTTGAGCGAGTTGTCGATTTTCCAGTCAGATGATAATGATCGTTTCCGTCTGAAAACCTTAACGTCAACTTTTTCAGCCAAGCATAGTCAAAGCAAGAGTTATATTCGAGAATGTTTGTATGTATGGTAAATAAAATTGTCGAAAAATTGACGGAAAAAAGTGCGTGTAACAGCACCTTAACCAGATCTTAATGGATTTAATACAGTTGTTGTTGTTGTTGTTGTTTTGGAGGAGTGATTACAATCTTCGTTGTTTAAAAATTATCTGGTATGTTTGTGCGTGTGTGTGTGTGTGTGTGTGTGTGTATTTGTGTATGTATGTGTGTGTGCAAAAAATTATATGTTGTGTGTGTGTACGTGTGTGTGTGTGCGTGTGTGTGTGTGTGTGTCTGTGTGTGTCTCTATATGTGTGCGTGTGCGTGCGCGTTCAGTTCTACGCACTTTCTTACTAAAATCATCTCATGGAATTTAATTTAACCAGATTTTCCTTCCTATTTGATAAACACTTTACGCAACATTCCAGCACCCCCCCCCCAAAAAAAAAAAAAAAATAATAATAATAAAAAAAAAAAAAAAAAAATAAAAAATAAAAAAAAATAAATAATAAAATAAAATAAAAAATAAAAATATAAAATAAAGTTCTTTTTAAAGGCCAGAACCAAGGAGAATAAGTATCATAAAGGAGATTATCGAGAACCAGCAGCTTCTTGTCCTCTTGTCACGTGTTCTTAACCAAGTGATCGAGTTTTCCGGAGTCTTATAACTTTTCACGTTCGACTTGACGGGGAAGAAAAGAAGCCATTAATTTTTTTGGGGGAAACTGGCAGTGTTTTTGTTCATCTTGCAGCTGGGTATTTCCTAAGACACGGATGCTGATGCTGTTGATAGGATATAATTTCAAAACTTCAGACTTCAACTTCAGTCTTCAACTTCAGACTTTAGACCAACTTCAAACTTCAACTTAAGTCCTAAGACACGGTTGTTGATGCTGTTGATAGGATATACTTTCAAAACTTCAGACTTCAACTTCAATCTTCAACTTCAGACTTTAGACCAACTTCAAACTTCAGACTTCAACTTAAGACTTCAAGTTCAAGCTTCAGACTTCAGACTTCAACTTCAAACTCCAACTTCAAACTTCAGACCTCAAACTTCACCTTCAAGGTTCAGACCAGACTTGAACTTCAAACTCCAGACTTGAACTTCAGACTTTCAAACTTCAGACTTCAACCTCAAACTTCAGACCAACTTCAAATTTTAACTTCGAACTTCAACAAACCAGACTTCTACTGAAAACTACAATATTCATACTTCAAAGCTCGACTACAACCTCAAATTTCATTTGAAACCCCAAACTTCAAATTTTGTCTTTAAACTTCAACTACAATCTCAGCTTCACCCTCAAGCTACGATTTCCAACTGCAACTTCAACTTCAAACTTCAAACTTCAGACTCCAAAATTCAACTTCAACTTCAAACTTCAGACTCCAACTTAAAACCTCTAACTTCAGACTCCAACTTAAAACCTCTAACTTCAGACTCCAACTTCAAACTTCAACTTCAAACTCCAACTTAAAACCTCTAACTTCAATACGCGAATTTACGATTTGCTGCACATCGTTCTTGCGGCCTCGAATTGGCCTTTCTTTTGCACGAAGGAGAGAATGTGATAATGAGAGAAGACTGATCTCATGACCAGAAAAAAGAAAGAAAAAAAAAAGAAAGAAAGAAAAGAGAAAGAAAGAAAGAAACATGTATTTTCAGTGGAAGGAGGAAAAGCTAGTGATGAGCAGTTATACAAATTCTCTCTGTCTCTGTCTGTCTGTCTGTCTGTCTCTCTCTCTCTCACTTTAACTTTGCGTGCGTGTTTTTGTGTGTGTGTGTGCGTTCGTGTGTGCGAACGCAAATACATACACATATTTATACCATTATATACACATATCTATACCATTACAGCCTATATGCATATATATACCAACACACACACACACACACACACACACACACACACACACACACAAACACCGACCCCCCCCCACACACACACACACATACACACACACACACACACACACCAACACCCCCCCCCCACACACCCTCCCCCCACCCACACACACACCGACACCCCCCCAACCCCCACCCCACACCGACACCCCCCACCCCCCCCCCACACCCTCCCTTCCCCCCTCACACACACCCCTCACCCCCCCTAACCCCCCCCTCACACACCCCGCACCCCACACCCCCACACACCCTCCCCCCAACTAACACCCATCCATTAACAAACCTCTTTTCCGATTGACCTTCCCAGAACGCCCTACCCCCCCCACCACCACACCCTCCCCCACCCTCCCCCCCCACACACACAACTCAGACCCATCCATTAACAGACCTCTTTTTCCGATTGACCTTCCCAGAGACGGCCTACAGAACGTGCTCATCCGAAGGCCGCTGGATGGGAAAAGACCCCTTCAGCAACTTCACGAACGGTTGGACTAACTACACCGCTTGTTTCACGCCGAATGTCCTTGATCTTTTCAATCAGCTGTATTCCGGGACTGAGGAGGAGGCCCAGGTGGGTGATTTTTTTTTATTTTTTTGTATTTTGTATTTATTGTGTGTGTGTGTGTGTGTGTGTGTGTGTTTGTGGTTTATTTGTTTGTTTGTTGATTATTTTTTATTGTCTATCTTTTTTGTGGTTTATGATTTTTTGGATTTTGTATTTTATTTATTTATTTATTTTTATTTTATTTATCTTTTTTGTTTTTTGCAGTTTTTATTTTTCTTTTTCTTATTTAACTATTTATTTTTGGGGATGATTTCTTTTTATTTATTATATTATCAGTATGAACACATTATTATATATTATTATTTTATTATTATATTTATTTATTATTTATTATTTATTATTATTATTATTTATATTTTTATTATTATGCTTAAAACCATCATTATTACCGTTGTTATTATGCTGATTACTATTATCTTTCTCATTATTAGTAGTTATCATTATTATTGGTATCATCATTATCGTTTTAGTTGTTACTATTATTGTCATTATGATGATGATAAATTGATGATAATAATGTTACTACTGATCTTATTATTATTTATATATATATATTGATTCATTATTTTTTATCATCTTGATCAGTCATCATCTTCATTCATTATTTGTTATGATCTTTGTCATAATTATTATCAGTAGTTTTGTCGACATCATCAATCCTATTACCAGTATAATAATTATTATTGTTGTTATGTTATCATTGCTATTTCAGTGTTTCTTCTAATAGTCATCACACACACACACACACACACACACACACACACACACACACACACACAACACACACACACACACACACACACACACACACACACACACACACACACACACGTATATATATAAATATATATATATATATATATATATATATATATATATATATATATACATACATATATATTTGTATATGTATATGTGTATATATGGTGTGTGTGTGTGTGTGTGTGTGTGTGTGTGTGTATGTGTGTGTGTGCGTGTGTGTGTTGTGTGCGTGTGTGTTGTGTGTGTATGTGTGTGTTTGTCTTTGTAAGTGCAACAGGAACAACGAATGAATATGCCAGAGGCTTTTCCGCTTAATTGCTTCATCATGTCATTGTTTCAGGGTGTGAGAACAAGCAATTTGCGGTACACTTAAACAGGCACATTATTGTACTTCGAGCCCCTGTCCTATTACCGTAAAATGGTATTGCATTTCTCTCCTGCAGGTGAACTTCCATATTGCAGGGGACAATGTGTGTTACCAGTTCATACCCATACTGCCGTATTTGTTATGTTTTAAGAGTTTTTTTTACATTATCTCTCTTGCAGATGACATGTCAGTTCTGTAATATTTTGATCTGTGTATCTTAGCGATTATTCTGATGGCATTTCGCTGTGTGATCCGGATTATCTGCCTTTCATGTCACTATATTTTTTTATTTTTCCATTCCTCTCTTACAGATGAAATATAGATTCCAACATATTTTACGAAGATAATTCTAGTATTTCCCTGTGTCATGTAATGCATTTTATCATCACAGCTCCTTTCATGTGCAAACTATATATTTTTTATTTCTTTCCTGTAGAAAAAATTCAGCTCCAGCACAGCATTTTTACTCTATTTTACCAAAGATTATCCTATTGCCATTTCGCTGTGTAATGTAATGCATATTGTCTTTACGGGCAGCTGTTTCATGTCAAACAATCAACTTTTCTCTCTCTCTCTCTCTCTCTCTCTCTCTCTCTCTCTCTCTCTCTCTCTCTCTCTCTCTCCTCTCCTCTCTCTCTCTCTCTCTCGTGGAGATACAATTTCAACTCCAACATATTTTCCTCCATCTATTTTACCAAGATGATTCTTTTCAACAATCAACAATCTTTTTTTTTCTCTCTCTAACTCTCGAGGAGATACAATTTTAGCTCCAACATATTTTCCTCCATCTATTTTACCACGATAATTCAACGGGGATTTCGCTGTGTTATGTAATGCATATTGCCTTACGAACAGCACCTTGTATGTCACTCAATTATAGTTTTTTTTTCCTTTTCTCTCCTGCAGATAAAATTTCTCGTGGCGAAGGGATCTAGAGCGTTAGAAATCATCGGTTTAATCCTCTCCCTCGTCTCTCTCCTCCTCTCTCTCTTCATCTTCAGTTATTTCAAGTAAGTGCGTCATGTTTCTCTTTCCTTCTTTCTCTTTTTTTTATATATACCTCTCACTCTTTCTTTCCCGATGTGACGGCCTCCACCGAATCACGTCACGCTACCCACAGAAAAAGTGCACCGGTTTATGCTTTGCTGTTTGTTTACATCATGTTTCATGTTTTGTTGTTTGTTTGTTCTGTATGTTTTTGTTTCTTGATTTGTTGTTGCAGCTGGTTGATATAATTAATTAGTTTTCTGTTCTATATGAATTATCTTTTGATGATATTTACGAATGTTTTCTTTGTTTACATATACATTCTGTCTATCTTTCTTAAATTCATTCTATATATACATGTGTATGTTTGCACAAACACACACACACACACACACACACACACACACACACACACACACACACACACACACACACACACACACACACACACACACACACACACACACACATACAAACAAAAATTACGTTTGATTTGCTTTCCAATATATATGATAAAGCGACCATTTTTCATCACGAGAAGACACAGTTATTCTTTGGTGCGATAAAATTTCAGATAGAATTAATCTATTGGGGGAAAAAGTCTTTGAGAAAATCTTCAAAGACATTTTTTTTTAATTCGTCTGTGTCTTTGATGTACAGTGTGTCTTTGTGACTTGGTTCAGTTGAAATTTTACCCCTGTATAAGTATATGGAAAGGTTTTTTTTCAACTAGTTAAATGAGTTTTTCAGGACATTTTTCTGATGTGTGTGTGTGTGTGTGTGTGTGTGTGTGTGTGTGTGTGTTGTGTTGTGTGTGTGTGTGTGTGTGTGTGTTTAGCGATGAAAACAAGGACAATAATAATAGTATTAATGATAAGTATAATGACAATGATAATAACAAGAGCTATAACAAAAATAGTGATATAAGATTATTATTGATAAAATTATAAGAATGACAAACAAACAAAAAAAATAGCAATCACAATGAAAATTATAGTAAAGATGATAAATTTAATAACAATATCAATATTATAGCTAGTGATAATGATGAAAATAATGATAATCATCCATATTATCATTATTGTTATTATCATCAAAATTATCATTTATGTTACAGTTATCATAATAAAAAGAAAAGTTATTAGAATATTAATAATAATGATGAATATTAATGATATCAATAATATAAACAAGATAAACAATAAAATCATTTTCTAACCGGTTGTCATCAGTAAATAGACATAAAAAAGAAAGAAGAGAGGAGGAGGAAGGAAAATGTAGATATAAACAAGATAAACAATTCACTTTCTAACTCCGGTTGTCATCAATAAGTAGATATAAAAAAGAAGATGAAGATGATGATTCGACACCAAATGAAAGAATTAAAAAAACAGTCACAAAAAAACGCACACGAGATTGGGAGAAGCAACAGGATGTATACCACGCGATTTAACCTTTTTTAACCTTTTTTTCGTCTCAACTCAAGAGGATTCGCGGTCAGCCCGAGAATCCGAAGAGAGGTCAGAGGTCACGGAGACGATGACCCTGCAAACACTCGTCTCTTCATCGCATATTGGGAGAGGAACATCAAAGAAAGTGGGGATGACAGATCGTGGGGGGGGGGGGGAGAAAGAGGAAGAGGGGAGGAGGCGATGGACGATAGATAGATGAAGTGAAATGACAGATATTTAGGTGAGAGAGAGAGGGGGAGAGAAAGAGAGGGGAGGGAGAGAAGAGAGAGAGAGAGAGAAGAGGAGGGAGAAGGAGGGAGGAGAGAGAGAGAGAGAGACAGAGAGAGAGAGAGAGAGGAGAGAAAGAAAGAGGGAGAGGGAGCGAGAGACACAGATAGGTAGATAGGGAGAGAGAAAGAGAGAGATAGAGAGAGAGAGAGAAAGAGAGAGGGGGGGTGAGAGAAAGAGAGAGAGAAAATAAACTCTCAGTTGTTGATCCACAACTATCACTTTCATTCCTATTTAATCAAGGAATTGTTGGGTAGTTATACCTTTTGTCTCCTTGAAACATGAACACACAAAACACATTTTGGATTTGCTTATATCAGTTATCTCACTCATAATTAAAGAGAATGTATTATGTCGCTAATTGTTCACTATATTTGCGTGAGATACTTTACCCATGTTTGTGATATGTTGCCTTTGTTTTCGAATTGCCACTAATTAGGTAATTTTGGAGTCAGTTATTGATCTGATACAATATCTGAAAGCGCATTTGGGAGACTACGAAAGAGAAATTTAACAATCAGGAAAAAAAAATGGACTTTTATCCAAAGGAAGGTTGTATAAGAGAAAGATGGAATGAAAATACAGTGTATGTGAGCTGTATTTTGGATGCGTAATGGAATCTGTGAGAGAAAGGGAGAGAGCATAGGCTAAGTGCTTGCGTGTGAGGGAAAAGAAAAGTCAGATCTTGATATTATTATTGTTCCTTCTGAGACAGACGATAAGAGATCAGTTGGGACATCCTCTGATCCATCTAGCCTCTTTTACAACCTTTCAGGGGTTGTGAGATAACGATGTAACCAGCAATAGGCCATTTAAGAGGGTCAAGTCTGTGAGATTTAGTTTAAGTACACCACCTCTGTCAGATCTCGATTTTCTGGCTGGGAATTCGTCAAGTCTCTAAGATGGGACAAAGTTATAGAAATTACTGACAGCATGCGAGGCACAGATCTTCAAGCAGTGTTTTCCTATGGTACTTGATTTTTCTAAGTTCTCTAATAGTTAGATAGGTGTAGTGAGTACTTTGGGACCTTTTCCTGTAGATATTAACGTAATATGTCACGCGCCAAGTAAAAAAAAAAATAATAATAATAAGTAAATAAATAAATAAATAAATAAAATAAATAAAATAAAAATGAAATGAAAGTAAATATAAAAATAAAAATAAAATAAAAAACAACAAACAAATAAATAAAATGAATAAATAACTTGTGACGAGACCCAAAATCAGTGTCCTGGCACGCGGTAAGTTAAATCCAAAGAAAGACCAAATATAATTCAGTGATCTGCTTTCCCAGAAGTACTAATAAAAAAGTATGATTATTGTAAATTTTTTTTTTTTTTTTTCGTTTTGCCGCTTCATAGCTGTTACGGGAGTTAAGGCTTAAGGTATTTTCCTAATGATATATATTTTTTTGGATGCATTGTTAGAAAACTATATTGCACTTTAGTAAATGGATGTCTATATAATATACTGTAATATATATTATATATATATATATATATATATATATATATATTTCTGGTTTCCATACATCTACGTTAAAGTTTCGATAACGGGTAAATCAATTTTTTTTTTTTTTTTTTTAATTAAAAGTTTTAAGAAGAGAGGAGAGAGAAAGGGAGAGAAAAACGCACGACACACACACACACACACACCACACACACACACACACACACACACACACACACACACACACAAAAAAAAAAAAAAAAAAAAAACGTAAAGTATAAAAAATCAGTTCTGTAGCATTTCACCCCCCCCCCCCCCCAGCATTTCCGGCCGTGGCAGACCCTCGCTCTCGGCCTCAATATTACAGCTTGGAGACAGACCCTGCCTGTGTTGTTGGCTCTGGTCTCGTGTTTGGCATTAGGCTAAGTGGGGGACCTGTTATCGAGTGTGTCCTCTGAATGGGATGCCGTGTTTCTGTCGGTGAAGGATCAGACAAAAGGTCATTTTTTTTCGCTGGGAATACGGGTCTAGCTGAGCTCGGGGTGAATGCTGTTCGTTTTGTCTGGGTTTGTCACTTTCGAGGGTTTATTGTTTTTCTCTTTCTCTCGTTTTCTCGTTTTCTGTCTCTTTCTCTCTCTCTCTCCTTCTTACTGTCTCTCTCATTATCCCTACCTCTTTTTCTGCCCCCCACATACACATATATATATATTTACACACACACACACACACACACACACACACACACACACACACACACACACATCCGTAAGATTATTGAATTTGATTCAACAATATTAACCGAAACATTTTCAAAACCAAGCGCCTGCAAACCTAAGAGGAAACTGATCCCATAATTGATATTAATCTATGCAATTGCAACAACTCTTAGAGAATAAAAGGATTAATCAGCTGTTCCGCAATCAGCTGGAGATGAAGACAGATGACAGACGTGTGCAGAGCAGGTGATGCTAGTTTCCAATTTTCATTATTTCCATGGATTGGTCAGTATCACGGATAAAGATGATTACACATATGCAACGTATACCTATTGTTGACTTCGATAGACAAAGGATAGTGGCAGAGATAGTTTTCAAAGGCCAGCAGACGCCAGATGATAGACAACGGCGTCCACTTCTAAATCCGGAAAGACGCCCTCAATAATACATTCTCTCGGACGCCCCTCGTGTTGTTAAGCCTAGCTAAAGGAGACCGCCCTTTTGGAATCCTTTAAAGTGCAAGGACAATGCAACCAGGGACCAGATTCACTAACTTCGCAATGCATTTACCATCAATCATTTACCATCAGTCATTTACCAGTGATGGTAAAGTGGGATTCACGAGATGGCAACTCGCATCGACTCATTCGAATGGTAGCCAACAGAGGGCTCTAGTAAAGCAATTCCACCAATCAGAAAGCGCCATACAGAGTCTTTTAGGTTCCTTCGGCCAATCACGTAGCATGTAAACAGAACTAGACAAAACCATTGTCACAGATAAAACAATATTTATATATGTATTGAAAAAAATATATTACATCTATTTAATCTTAACCATTATGGGGGATGTTAATAGACTTCCCTAGGTATCTATCGTATAATTAGGAACCAATACAAACACAAATTAATTTATCATTGTATACTGCACACCAAAGAGAGAGTCCAGTTTATTTATTTATTTATTTATCATCATTATTAACACTGCACACCAAAGAGACAATTCAAACAGTTTATTTATTCATTTATTTATTTATCATCATTGTTAAACAACGAACCGGGCAAAACATTTTATTCATCGCCATCTATTGTCAAATAAGTGAAATATATAAAGCTTATTC